TGAGATGTATTATAATACAATAGTGTTTGATTGATAAGGTTTTCTGATTAAGAGGATTATCATTATCGATGTTAAATTTCTTTGGAAATTCTCTTCGGCTTTTTTTGCTCGAAATTATTTGATGTACGTTTTTCATTAATATCACGATTTGCAAAAATATATATGTACATCTCATATTTTATACAACAGAATCAAAATTACAAAACAGCATGGAGTGAATGTGGGTAATATTTCAAATACTGTAAAATAAAATAGTATAATATTTCCTCCACATTTTTGTATCAGAATAAATGTGAATATAAATTAGAATTTTGTTTGCATTTTTCTTGAAAAAGCTGTTTTAAGTGCAAAATAATGCTTTTATACTTTCGTAAAATAATATTTGTTCTTAATTTAGAAAAAAACAACATTCATTTCCCCTTTAATTATAAGAATAATATTATTTCACATACTTCAAAATAATATATTTACCTTTTATTATGTCATAGTTATATTCTACGAAGCATATTTAACCAGAAGAATTCAAATATCAAGTAAAATAACTTGAACTACGGCCCATGGGCATCTCCGTAAGTGTAAAAAACTTATAAACTATAGTAATAATAAAAATAAACAATTATTTACCTCCGCGGAATATTTAACACCATTCATTAACTTTTGCATTCACAGAGATTGTTTTCTGCTTTAAGATAAGTCCCATTTTGATTATTGAAAAAAAGAATTTTTAACATTTCAACCAAAAAGATTCACTTTCACAAAATAATTAATAAAATGTTTAATTGAATACACCTTGGGAGACTGATCTGATATTTTCAAGGAAACACATTGATATATAAATAGGACTATTTTTTTGTTTGTTTGTTGTTAGGACCAAAGCTACACAATGGTCTATCTGTGCTCTTCTCACCACGGGTATCAAAACTCGATTCTTAGCATAATAAGCCCTCAGTCTTACCTCTGAGCTGCAAGGGTGGATGAGGGCGAAAGGGGAGTAGAAGAAGCAAAATGTCTGTTCAGGCAATGTTTGTTTTTAAAACATAGATATAGTTCTTTACAGAATATCTTTCTAATAGAGATTAGATATCACAAACGACATTCTTTTGTAAATATCATCTAACTTGAGACCATATCTTGAGAAATATTCTGATACATTTTTTAATTTTGCGTTTTCTATAAGTTATTCGAGTATTGTCAAGAAAAAAAAAATGAAAAAAGCAAATTTTGCATAAATTTGATTAAATTTCGCCATAGTTATTTGAAATGGCTTATGAAACATGGCATATATGTGCGTGTGTGTGTGTTTTTTACTGCTTGTACAAACATTTTCTCATATTCGTCCGATGAGCCATTGTCAGTAAACATGTTCTATTTTGTCATCTCTTCTTTTACCTCTTTCCGTTAAACATTACTGTAGCCGAATAAGTTTGTTTGTTTTTTTAAATTATTGTAGTGATTGATATATATCTGCTTATTCAAATTGATTTTTCAAAGTAATACATCAATGTTCGAGTTCAAGTAGTTTTCTTCTGGAATAGAAATTATGAATGAATGACCCCAGAAAAAAAAAGAGATATTCAGCGGAGATTTCCAATTTTGATACACTACTCCATAATACATTATCTCTCATAAATTAGATATATGCATTCTAAGACATTAAATCTGTTTTAAGGCTTCGAATAAATATTTTTCAAACATTGAAATATCCATAAGGCAACGATATAATATTTTTGTTTCTCTTAAAAACGCAAAATCATGAAACCAAGTGTTGTTTAGGAACAGCTTGTATTATCAGGCAGTTCTTATATCCATAATAACGTATCTTCATACATATTAATTCAATCACAGGTACTCGAGGGCTATCTACGCTGGCTGTCCCTAATTTTGAAACGATAGACTATAAGAAACACAGTTAGT